GCCCAGGCCAGCTCTCTCTCCCTTCATAAGCCCCGCTTTGTGGGACAGGTCCCTCAGCCCTTCCTCTGGGCTGCAGAGCTGATCACCCCCTTGCATTATTTCTGGCCCCTCTTATCTGGTTAGGCAATGATCAACCCAACAGAGCAGAGGCTGCCCTGCCCTGTGTCCCCGAGGACCACGTGAGGTCCCTGCTGAAACCCTCTCGGTCAAAGACTTGGGATTAAAATATTTGTGCTGCCGCACTGTGGCTGTGTGCCCTTGAGCAGCTTAGCCTCTCTAAGCCTCAGTTTCCTTCTCTGGAAGTGAGAGAAGCGTCTCACATGAAAGCGACCTGCCGGTTACACTGTGGTCTTCAACCATGGTCAGCCCCTCCTCCCTCCCACGCCATCTGCCGAAGCCTGAGTACAGAAGCCTCGGCCTCAAGGAGGTCAAGGCCAATGGGCGCCACTCTGTCTCATCTCCTCACCCCCAGTAAACATTATTCTCTGGCCGCACTAGGTGCTTGCCAGTCCCCAAATCCCTGTGGTTTTTTCCACCCCTCAGCGTTTGCACATGCTCTTCCTCCTGGGCAAACCGCTTCTCATCTTTCAAGACCCTGGCCCACCTTAAAATCATGATTGTTGAATTGAGGTAAACTGAATGAGGGAGAAAACAGAGTGGGGGTGGGGGGCTGTAGGGGGGTTCCCAGGGTAGGGTGGGGGCTCTGTGGGGGCCCTGAGTGCTCCAGGTCCCCCCGAGTGGCAGGGCTCGGCAGGGAGGGGGAAGACTTAAAGGCATAGGTCTTGGCTGTCATCTTTGGGAAATTCCTCCTCCTAGCAGGACCCTTGGGTGATCTGCTGGGAGGACAATAGCCTACTTGAGGCCCAGCTGTTGCAGGCCTCCCAGCTGTTGCTTCTTGAAGGAGATCCATGCAGGATGGGGGAAGGGGCTAAGCACTTTCTGGTGGTTTCCAAGCCAGGTCAGGGACCCTGTGCTGGGACTTTCTGTTCCCGGTTCTGGCCCCAGCTACCCATCTAGACCCAAGATGACCCTAAACATAGTGATGAGGGCTTACGGGGAGGGTGGGCCCTGAGCCCAGTCTCCTTAGGCCTAAAACTCAGAGCCTGAGGCTCAGAGATAAGTGCCATTGGCCCAGGCCCTGTGGCCTCCAACCACTACTTCCAGCTCCTCACTCTCTGTGCTTTCCTCCCAGTGATCCCCGTTGTACTCCACCTCACTCCATATCCCAAATCTCCAGTCTTCAGGAGGCTTTCAAAACAGGTTGGAGGGAGGGGAGGAATGCCACGAGGGGAGGGGAAGCATGAAGAGGACGGAGGACAGCTTAGTACTGAGCCTTCCCCAGTACTACCTCTGCCCAGCCTGTGCTGAGTTCTGGGGCCTTAGGAGTGAATCAAATCAGGCCCCAGCCCCCGGGAGCTCCCAGTCTGGTGAGTCGGGTGTTGTTCTTTGTAATTTCAAGCACTGATGCTTCGGGCTCTGGGCTGCAGGCCATGATGGGTGGTAGGGGGCAGTAAGGGCCAGGTTTACTTCCTCTCGACCGCTAGGGTGTGGCTGAGGCCCAGGCAGGCCTCCTACAGAGAGCCAAGGCCCCTAACACTGAGGGAAGACTGGACCCTGCCCTCAGCAGAGGCCTCTGCTCCACTGCTCCCTCCGAAGACAGAAGACTGAGCTTCTCAGAATAGGAAGGGAGCACGTGAGCACCTTGGCCAACACTGTACAGAGGGAGAAAGTGAGTCCCAGAAAGGGACAGAAGCAGACTGGACATTGGGTGCCTGGCACCCGATTGTGGGGTCCAAGCAAGCTCTCCATTTGGTTCACAGCTGCCTGACATCTGGCTCAGCAGGCAAGGCCCAGCCTGGGAGGAAATAACTCCTCCCCACATACATACTGCACTAGCACCCAGGGAACAGCTTGCTTTGTCTGGAGTCAGCGGGGAAGTGCCCAACGCAGGTGGAGGCTGGATTCTGGCCCCGACTCTGCTGCTTGCTTGCAGGGCGACCTTGGGCGAGTCACGTGCCCTCCCGGAGCATCTGTTTCCTCGCCTGTTAAAAAGGGCGAGCGCATGTCACTGCATTCTCATGACGCCAGTGCTGCAGAGCTGACATGTGAACCTAGGGCTGCGGGTGTGTTCTCTTGCCCCACCATCTGCCCCGGATCGGCTCACATTTGAACCCAGAAGAGCTAGAGAAAGCAACAGAAACAACGCCAGGAACAAAGAAGGATGAACCACAAAGAGAGGGTCAAACAGGGTATGGGAGAGAGGCTACGGCTAGCGGAGAATCGGTCTGAAAGGCTTCCTGGGGGAGTTGGTGTTTGGAGGAATTGGAAAGTGGCAAATTCCACCAGAATGGGATGTGGGTGGAGGGCGGGGCTTCCAGGTGAAGGTAAAGCCGAGCAGAGGTGTAGAGGTGGCACAGTGGCTTTTCTGAATCACAGAATGGGCCTGGCTCTAGATCAGGGGTGAGGAACATCCTGCCCTTGGGGCCCTAGAAGGCCCTGCCAAGGCATTAGGGGTGAGTCAATTAAATCTTTGACCAAATACATAGCAGGCTAATTTTTAACTTGATCATTTTGTATGGCCCACGACTGATGTTATAATTATCCAAATGGTCCTTGTAGAATAAAGGTTCCCCACGCCTGCCTTAGCTCATGTCCTCCAGCCTCTCCCCCACAGACAAGGAAGCTCTACCTGTTGCCTAAGGGCACGTGGTGAGCTGGTGATGGGTCTCTGCTGCCAGCCTCATCTGACCACCACTGCTCTCTGCCTCTGGCTGGGACAGCTGGTCCCTCCCCCTCCAGCGAGCTGGGACGGGGTCTCTTTGCAGGCTGCAGGCTCTGTCCCTGCCCTGCCTGCATCCCCACATCCCTCAGAGCGCTCTCAGACCAGAAAGAGAGCCTGGGGGAAGCCGGCCATGGCTCAGGTTGGGACTTAGGAAGATAGGCCAGGTGTGCAGAGTGGGCAGATGCTGTTGTGCCCCAAGGATGGCAGAGTTATTTGGTGGCAGAGTGGGCAGATGCTGGGGCCAGCTTCCTGCTTTATGGGCGTAGGTGGTGGTGGTGCATGTGTGAATTAGGGGGCAGCTAGAAAATATTCCAGAACGGAGCCTAGCAGGGGTCAGAATAACAGTCGAGGTAGGACAGGGCTGGGGGCTGGTGCAGTAATGGCCAAAGTCTCTAGTTTAGTTTCTTCCCATACCCATAGGATTGCCAACTCTCCCGTCCCATTGCTCACCAAGGCCGATTGGGAAACTGGTTTGTCAGTGGCCCATCTCCAAACCTCATTGTCATCTCTCCTGTGAGGCCCCCAGAGGAAGTATCCATCCCCACCCTTCCTGCCTGCCACAGTCCCCAAGCCATGGCTGTGACATAGCCCAGTCTGCCTGCTGGGCCACTCAGCCCTCACCAGCCCACAAAGTCCTCACGGCCGCACTCCAGGGAGCAAGCCCGGCCTTGCCTGAATGGGTGTGAGGCTAACACGGTTAGGAGAGGACAGACAGCTGGAGGGATGCCAGAGGTGATTGCTGCGAGGTCTAGCACCAAGAGCCACCCTGTCCGAAGATCAAAGATTGTTTCTTTCACTTTCCTCCCCAGGCCTAAGAAAAGTTCAGCGCGGGGTTCAGAACCACCGCCCTCTCCACATGGTGCTTCAGTCACTCCCCAGGCTCGGCTTCTCAAGGCTTCCAGGCATTTCCCCTCTGGCCTCCTCCCCACCTGGCAGCCAATGCACGCAGGTCTCTGCAGTCTCTTCTGTGCTGATCTTTCTGTTGCTCTGTCTGCAGATCTGTAGGTCTGTCCCGTATCTGTCTCCTTCTGGTTCTCTCTCTCTCACTATCTCTTCTCTTAATCCCTTCTGCAGCCCTCTCTCTGGGGCTGGTCTCTGCACGCTTCTGGGTCCCTCTGCACGCTCCCGCAGACACCTGCTAATCTTTGTCTTCTCCCTCTGTGTCTGTCCTGTCCTGGCCTTTGTCTGACTTTGCATATCTCTGGACTTGCTCTGTCTCTGACTACACTTCTCTCTACCTCTCTTTTTTCTGTTGTGTTTGTCTCTCTCTTTGGCTGCTTCAGAGAGGGGAAACAGGGCTTGGTGAAGGAATCGGGGGGCGGGGGTGCCTTTCTATTGCCCTGTTGGTTGTGTGGACGAAAGGGGCCACACGCTGACCTGACCAGCTCAGGGAAGGCCTGCATGGCGGTCTTGCAAACTCAGAGACCTAAAGTCACCACAAAGGATGGTCTGAAATTAAACTTTAACTAAAGCAGTTATGGTGGGTAGTTACGTCCTAGGCCAGTATCTTCACTGACAAGGTCAACCTTTACCTTCACTGAGCCTATCTGTCTTTTCGCATCTATGGTAACATATCCTTGAAATGTCTGGGTAACTTGTAACTTCCCTTTTTCTGGACCCCTTGGGGCACAACCTAATGTGCCTGGGCACCAGGATGACACAAATTTCTTCATTGTTATTGTTATCATGTTAATTGTTGACTGTTAACTACCCTGTAGCCACCTAAGTATGTGTCTATCATTTTACTTTTTATCCAATCCCAGAGGTTTCCCCACTTTGCTTTCTCCCACCTCTATCACCAATGGATTTCATGTAACCCACCTACGTCCCCTCCTTTGATTGCAATATATAAAAATAGATGAAAAAACTGCCATTCTCTGGAGCACTATCCCAATCTGTTGAGATACTGCTTCCTGGCAATTGTCGACAGTTTGGCTCAAATAAACTCACAAAAATTCTTTACAGGTTTGAATGTTTTTACGTTAACAGTCGCTATATCTCATAAGGCCCCCTGCCTCCAGCTGAGTAAACAGCGTCCCTTCCTGTCCCTCCCGCAATTCCCTCATTCATTCCACACACTCTCTCATGTGCCGGGCTCTGGGTAAGGAACCTGAGCCCCCAATACACCCCTTTTGGCTCAACAGCTGCACCCTCCACATTGAGAATGTGGCCCCCATATGCCCTCCCAATACCCCTTTCTTACTTTGTCCAGACTTACCTATCCTGGGTCCCATGACTGTGTGGGGTGCAGTCAGTTCCAGCCCCTACTTCAACCCCAGGACTGGAGTTTAGCAGGAAAGAGGGAGTGAGCTCTTATCAGGGACTCCCAGAGACAAGTCTCAAGGCACAGCAGGCGCGTGCTAAGGTGGGGCCTCCAGGCACCGGCCGATGCTTCTTCGATCACAAGGCAGCTACCTTTTCCAGGTAGGGCTAAGGAAGTCCTGCTCAAACTTGACCCCACTCTCCAAGTGCCTGTCTGCCTTGATCACTTGTTTCTTCTGTCTCTCTCTGCTCCAGCCCCTGGCTTACAAACTCACAATCTCTCTGAATTCCTCTGATCTCTGCCTGGGGCAGCCCAGGGCCAGTGGTGTAGGAGGCTGGGTTTGTTTAGATCCAGCCCCACTGATGGGAGGAGGCTGCTGTCAGCCTGCTTCTTCCCAGCCTCTTGCCTCAGCATTTCCCTTGGATATTTTTTCTTCCTCTGTTAGCAGTGGAGAGGTGGGGCCAATGGGAGTGTCCCCAAGCCCTGTGGTCATTCAGTCCTGCTTCTTCTCACTGTGCTTCCTGATCCACTAAGCTCTTGTCCCCCTCACTGAACTTCTGTTACTGTTCATGAGCCCCACAGAGAGCCTGTTTCCCCACTGTCCTCCTTCACCGAACCTCTGTCCTCCTGAAGCTCTGGTTCCCTCTCACGGAACCCCCATCTCCTCTCTGAGTTCCAAGGATTTAGAGCAAGGAGGGACTCTGTCCATTGGGAATTGCAATGGCCAGCCCACCTGGTAGGGACTCACAGTAGCAGCTCCATAAAGCATGGCCCTCTCGATGGGGGGGGGGGTGAGGGGGGCAGAGAGGAAGAGCAGGAGGACAACTATGACATTTCCAGAGTTTCCTGAACTGAGGCTGAGGATGGAGGACTTGGAGCTAGACAGACCTGAGTCTCATCTCAGCCCTGTCAATCATTGGTCAAGTGGCCTTAGGCAACTCTGCACCTCTCTGAGCATGTTCCCTCATCTATAAAGAAGGGACAATATTCCTCACTTGCAGGTCCTCACTTGCAGGGCTGCTGTGAAAGTTTAGTGAGCAAGAAAGAAGCCAAGTCTGAAGTCCTGGAGCTCAGAGAAGGGAGCAGCAGAGGTGGCCCAGAACCAGGCAGCATGAGAGAAAGCTAATCCACCTCAGCATTTTCACACATGCAGCCCCCTCCGGCCCTCCTATTGACTTGTAGGCCAGGAATTTATTCCCTCAGGATACAGATGAGGCATTGAGTCTCTGGATCTGCCCAGAGGTCACTGAACTAATAAGTGAACCTGACTCAGTTCCAGGAATAAAGTCTTTGCATGAAACAGGAATGTGGGTTTGGAGTCTAACTTTCAGGGTGTAATGATTGAGAAATATCATCAGTGCCACTTGGCTCCTAGTGGCTGTATGAGGATGTTAGGAGGAAGTGAGGAGTATCCTATATAATAAAAGGTTAATATGCAAATCAACCAAACAGCAGAACGACTGGTTGCTATGATGCACACTGACCACCAGGGGGCAGACGCTCAAAGCAGGAGCCAGGCTCAGCGCTAAGGATGTCTGACTGCTGGCTTAGACCTGCTCCCCAGGGGGAGCTGGCCTAAGCCGCCAGTCAGACATCCCCTGATTTGTGCACTTGCGGGGGGGGGGGGGGGGCCCCAAACTTGCAGAACCAAAACCGGTCAAAGGCCCATGAAGATCATGGAAACCCCCCCACCGGGAAACAAAAACCATAACGAAGACCTCAGAGAGGAAACTTTCAGGCTTGTGGAGGGAAGCTGAGTCATGAAATGTCATGGGTATGCAACCAGCCATATGGGATCGACTTATTGAGAAACCAATTAGCAGCACAAAACTTTTCGATATGG